AAAGAGAAGTACATCTTGGCTTTATTTACATCTAGATCTGTCACTTGTAAAAGCAGTGTGCTGTAAAAGTTGGTCGAGTATGGAGGCACATGGCTAATCCCAACATTTGGAGGAAGAGTTAGAGGATTGTGAGATTGAGACCAGCCTGGACTATGTAGTGAGATCCTGTCTGGAAAAAAGAAGTTGGAAGTTTGTCAGTGTGAAAAGTAAACTTATTAAACATGTTCTGAAATTGGGTTATTGTTAAAATTTTTATATGACTTTCATTAGTTTCTGTTATGCTAGCTGGAGCTTGTATAAGGTACAGAATTGAATTTGTGATTTTTATTTCTTTTTTTTTAGGGGGAAGCAAGAGTGGGAAGATGGCTAGAAAGTTTGGCATACTCCTTGTCAAACATTCAGACACACCTTTTGCTTAAGAACAGTCAGTTTGTCCTAGTTATAAAATAAATCCAGGAGCTCATCAGGCTGGAGAGATGGCTCAATGGTTAAGAGCATTTGCTATTCTTCCAGAGGATCCAGGTTCCATTCTCAGCACCCACATGGCAGCTCAACCATTTGTAACTTTAGTCCTAAGGGATCTGTGGCCCACTTCTGGCCTCCCTGGGCACTGTGTACATGTGGTCAACAGACATACATGTAGGCAGAACACTCATAGACATAAAAATAAAATCTTTAAAAGTCTAAGAAACCCTCTTCTGACCAGCCCAGACAATCACTCTAATCCAAGTTCACTCTCTACATCCCTAAAAAGTTCTCACTAAAGTTTAGAGGTTTGTAATAGAGCTTTTGGGTGTTTTTGTGTTTTAGACAAGGTCTTGCTATAAAATCTAGGCTAGTCTCAAGTTGTTGACGGTCTTGCCTCGTCCTTCTGAATGCTGAGGTTGTGGGCAATGTTGTCACTGCTCATTGTTTTGTACCGAAACATTCTATAGTACAATAGCTTCTGCCAGAAAGGATCAATGTATGGGAGTCTTATTGTGTAGTATTTAGGCTGGCCTGAAACTCAGGAAGAGCCTACAGTGTCAGATTATAGCAATAGGTTTGTCTTTCTGCTTTATTTTGTTTTTACTTTCTGTGTATTTGTGTTTATTTTTGCTGTTGTTTTTTGACTTCATGTGTTTCTGTTTACCACATGTATGTCTGATGCCTAAGGAAGCCAGAAAGATGGCATCAGCATGGTAATTTTTCGTTGTTTTTAAGAACACTAGTGCGAAATGTAAGTCAACCTGAATTGAATATTTTGGTAAAGTGTATTTAGCCTGTAGCTCAAGGGCATTTGCCACTGGGAGACTAGAAAATTATTAAAGCTGTTCATTTATTCACTTGTCATCTTCTGGAAGCTGCATTGTTGTTACACTATAGCAGGTAATAGGTAATGGTTGTGGTTTTAATTTTAGGGAGTGAGTGGGTTTATTCTTAGTATAGTTTTAGGTCAACTTTGACCTAAAACAAATTTATAGCTGTTTCAATAAAGCTACTCTTTTTTTTTAAATTTTTTTAATTTATAAAGCTACTCTTTATAATTTGTTGGTGCTTGCCAAGAAGGTAACATAAAGGAAAGATGGGGAGGTTTTGTGTTGATTGTTTGAGTTGTGACTTCACTATTTACTGAATATTGTGTTTCTTTGATTTTTTTTTTTAATACTCATTTGGAAAATGGGCACTACAGATAAAGCCTCTGAAGGTTGTGTGAAGATTAAGATTAGACTAGGCAGCTGGGCGGTCAGTAGTGCAGCCTTTAATCCCAGCAAGTGGATCTCTTGAGTTCAAGGTCAACCTGGTCTATTGAGTAATTTCCTGGTCAGTCAGGGCTGCACAAAGAAACCCTGTCCTCTTCCCCAATCCCAGCCCACCTCTCTAAAAAAGATGAGGCTAGGCATGGTGGCACATGCCTGTAGTCCCAGGTTCAGAAGTTCAGGGTCATCATCAGCTACTAGAGTTGTTTCAGGCTGGCCTGAGTTGTATGAGACCCTGTCACAAAAGACCATATAAATACCTAAGTATATGAAATTAGATACTTTATACAAAAAGTGCACAGCTAGTTGAAAACTGGTGCATGTCTGTAATTCCAGCTACTCAGAAGGCTGAGGCAAAAATGAAGGCTGCATGGGCTACATAGAGAATTTTAGACCAAGGTGGACAATTTCATGAGAACCTGTCTGAAAATTTAGAAAAAAGTACACACAGTTATATTACTAGACAGTTCTATATTATTAACTGGTGGCAGTTATGTTATTAGATGTTGACATACTGAGTTTCTCCTGTACCCATACCTGCTATCTAATTTTGTGTGTGTATGTGCCTCATAGGGATCGCTTGAGGGAAAGGGGAAATAGTGAATATTGTGCTTTTCTTAAAGTGCATATGTATTGGGGCTGATCGTCCTGTGTTACAGGTTTCTGGAAAGTAGTTATGTGACATCGTATTGTCAATTAAAACGATAGTACAGTGAAGGAGCAGAAATATAGTAGAAGGGTATTATTTGTACAATCTACATATTAGTCTTTAGCTTTCTAATTCTGGGGATTTAAACTTGCTTTTTTTTTTCTTTCTTTGTACTTTGAAACATTAAACAGTATGACCTTTAACTTGTGACCCTCCTGCTCCCTGCCTCTATTTTTTGGGTTCTGAGAGTCCAGGTGTATGCAAGTTCCTTGCATGAGATTCAGCCTTTCTCAATTCGTATTTTGAGGGCCTTATTATTGCTTAGTTGGATGAAGAACTTGTATAAGATTGATAAATTCCTTCTAAGTTAAGTTAATTTGGAATTCTTTATTTAATCTTACAGTTTGCTTTGATAGGAAAGGTCTAGGTTGTTGAAATCTTTTGAAAATAATTGCTCCTCAAAATGGAAAGGGAAATTTAGAGCGGTTCCTATTGGTTTTATCCTTTTGACATAGAAGACAGAAGAAAACCATAAAATTTAGTTGCTGTTTATGAAGGATATTTTGCTCAGAAAGTATATTTTCATTTAATCTTCACAGTGATCTATGAAGTAGGTAGGTGGTGATATCCTCATTTTATAGAGGAGAAAGTTGGGTTTCAGTTCTTGAGCAACTTAGGAGGTCATTTGGCAGCAAATGAAAGAGCTTAGATTTATTAGTTTGCTCTTTGTGTGAGGGAGTCATGTTTTTTTTTTTTTTTTTTTTTTTTTGGTTTTTCGAGACAGGGTTTCTCTGTGGTTTTGGAGCCTGTCCTGGATCTAGCTCTTGTAGACCAGGCTGGTCTCGAACTCACAGAGATCCGCCTGCCTCTGCCTCCCGAGTGCTGGGATTAAAGGCGTGCGCCACCACCGCCCGGCGGGAGTCATGTTTTTAAAGACTTTTATGTGTATGGGTGTTTTAAATACATGTGTCTATGTACCTTGTGTGTTCCTGGTGCCCAGGGAGGCCAAAAAAGAGTGTAGCATCCCCTGTATTTGGAGCTAGAGACTGTATATGAGCCACTATGTGTTATAGATATTGGAACCTGGATTGTTTGGAAGATCAGCAAATGCTCTTAACTGCTGAGCCGTCTCTCTGGCCTGATATTCTTATTTTTATTTATGTTGTATATTTAAGTGTAAAACCCTGTAGCTGGTTATGGTAATACAAACCTGTAGTTCTAGGAAGTTAAAGCAGTATTGTAGATTTAGGGCCAGCCTGACCCTGTTTAAAATAAATAGGTGTCTTATTTAAATAGGTCTTATTTAAAACCTACCTTTTAAATAAGAGCAACTTACTGTCTTTGAGATAGCTGAGATTTCAGATTTATTTGGTTCCAAAGTTTATAGCAGGCCTTGGAAACATCTTGTTGATATTACAAACTAGAGAAAATTGAAATGTGAGCTCATAGAGTCCTCAGTTTAAAGCTAGACAGAGCTGGAGATGGATCTTAGTGGTGGTGTGCTTGCCTGTGCTGCCAAGGGTTCAGTCTCTAGCACTGTAAAAGAAGTTAGGGGAAATTCCACAAGTTGGGAAAGTTGCTCCATCTGAGTATTGAGTGAGCCAGATTGTAAGTAAGTGGTAAGTATGAGTAGACCTGGTCAGAGAAGGCAAACTTCTGGAATTATAGCCGATGGCAAAGTTTGCACAAAGGCTAATTTGAAAAGTATCAAGGTGTGGAACCAAATTTAAACTTCAGTTTAGGGTTTTTCTTTATTAAGGAATCAGTAGATGTTTGAAAGCAGAGAAGAGTGAAGGGTGGAATAAAAATAGTTGGAACATTCTGAAAAATGTTAAGGGATTTGTATTGCAGAAAATGGTTTTTATTTTGGACACAGTTCATAATGCGTAGCCCACACTGGACTCCAAACTCAGTTGTTCTCACTTTAGTTTTCTGACTGCTGGGACTTCTGGTATATGCCACCATTCCCTGCTTAGAAAACCCCTTTTTATCCTTTTAAAGACTACCCAAACAGCCAAGAGCTCATTATTCACAGGCAAGAACCATTCATTACTAATTAGCTATAAATGATCCACACCTTTTGAACAAACATAGTTCCTCTTAAAGCCTCCTTTTCAACTTCCATATGGAACTTACAGCTCTGAAGAATCATCTAGATGCTTTATATAAATATTTTAGATAATTAAATGTAGTGAAAAGATAATACTGTTTAGATGGGCAGTCATACCTTTCAAATGATTTTCAAATAAAGATTATTTTATCAAATTTTATTTCACTAGGAAGTTAAGAGACAAAATAATTGAAGATTACTTACAATCAATAAACAACGATACATTATTTTTGGAGGGGATATACCATTCTTGTCACTATGAAAGGCTTTATTCGGATTCTAGTCAACCAATTACTATATTAAAAAAAATAGTTTACCGTTGTCACATTTTGGTGACAGAATTACCATAGCACAAATGAAAGTTTGTATTTATTATAGATACATTATGATTTTCATTTAATAGGTCAGATAGCTGCTTCAACTGATTTGGTTTTTAGCCTGTTTGATTAAGTACCAACAATTGGACATTTCTAGCAGTGCTAATAAAGCAAGAAGGAATCTTAAAAATTATATGGCTTACTTTCTCATTTTTACAGAGATTTTTGTTCTGCGCTTTTGTTTCCAGTGGCTTGTTTGGATTTTCTTTCGTTAAGCTCTCACTTGATTGTAGTCCTTCGAAGGTCAGGCTGTTGGCTTTTCCATCTTTCAGCCAGTGGTACAAAGAAAAGGGAGCCTGAAGAGAGGAGATAGCAGGTGCCAGAGAAGTAGAAAGAGCCTGTGTATGTCTGTGTATAGTCATATATCCAGCCTGTAAGGAAGGAGTGGTTTCTGTTAGTGAAGTGAACTTTTCTGTTTGTGATTCTCAAGCAACTCTTAGACTTTGAAGAAAGAGGCCTCATCTTCCCAGTCTGTATTGTGAGCCACTGGATTTAATACAGCTTCTCACTTGTCTTACTTGAAACTGAATCACTTTCATCTAAGTAGAAACTTGCATCATTAAAAAAGTCATTGTGGACTCAGAAACATGTCTTAGGGTGGAGATTGGAGAAAATTAGCACCTCATTTTATGATACTCTTACAAGAAGACTATTGTTTTCTAACAAGAAAGTAATCAGAACTTTCTTTCCTTTACTGAGCTAATATTTGAGTATTTACCATGTTCCTGAAAACAGGCTATGCATCAAGAACAGTACTGAGCCAAATAAACATGGTCCCTGCACTAATAAAAGTTTACAGTTTAGTGGGAAAATAGATATTAACCATTTTAACTATGTATTTGGTAAGTTCTATGAAGGGAAGACTTGGGGGTTATGATATCACCTGAGAAGGAACTGTTTGATAAATGTGCTGAAGGAATTTTTCTAAAATCTAAATAGTCCATGTGAGAGCACACACATGTGTAGACATTGGATCAAGGTCCTGATGCATGGTAGGCCATTGAGCTGCATTCCTAACTGAATGCTCTTTAAGAATGTAAAAAGCCTGGCAGTCTTCTCATCAATGGCACATACTAGAACTTAAGTAAAACATCTTAAAAATAATAGCAAGAAGTGAACATTTAAATGTCCATATAAAAGTCTGTAATGTAATGGTGGTGGCACACTCCTTTAATCCCAGCACTCAGAGGGTAGAGCCAGGCAGATCTTTTTGAGTTCGAGGCCAGCCTGCTCTACAGAGTGACTTCCAGGATGAATGAATGAATGAATGAATGAATGAATGAATGAAATTTATGTCCTGGCAATGCTGAAGCATGCATGTGCAATCCATATATGGTAGTTCTTTTGAACTTGTCCATATTGGGTTTCATGAGGACTCTTCCTCATAAGGGTACCAGATCTCTTTACAGATGGTTGTGAGCTACCATGTGGTTGCTGGGAATTGAACTCAAGACCTTTGGAAGAGCAGGCCTCTTTACTGCTGAGCCATCTTTCCAGTCACAATCTTTGTGTTATATGCCTGTGTGGTTCTGGGTTAAGAGATGATAAACTGATGAAGAGAGAGGTAGGAATACTCAGTGCTTATGTGTTTTAGCTGTTCTGCCTGCCCCCGACTCATTTGGTTAATTGTTTTATTGCCTTTTCTTCATTCTCTTATTTTAGCTGTGACAGGGTTTGGGGTTTTTGTTATTTAATTCTGGGGATTGAACCCAAAGCTTCATGTACATACATGCTACCCCCCCCAGTCCCTTTTGTTTTGATAATTTGTATTTCCTATTTTTAATGTAATGTATAAATGGAATATTTTATAGCCTTTTAAATTCAGCTAACTTTAAGGAGTTTATTGGTTCCTTACTTGATTCTCTCATTTAAATGTTTCTTGGGGGTAAGTTGAGGGAGTGGAGTAAGGTCAGCTCGGATGAGTCTTTGTATTCTCTGGATGTGACTGACCTCTGACTTTCTAAAAAAATAGGTGACTAACCTGAGCTATGGAATTTTCTAGGAAGGAGGGAGAAATGGAACAGCAACCCCTCCTCTTATGCATATATATGTGTTTACTGTGAATTTCTGAATGGGTATCAAATGTTAGCATTATAGGAAAAAACTAGGGGTTCTTGATAGTAAATAGTGCTAGTAACTATCAGGAGAGCAAAGGTGAAAATGGGTTCAAGAGAGTTGTTTATAACTTTGCTTTTCACACACCTTTTAAAGAGAATGTTATGTCTGAAACATTAAGGTATTAAAATATATTTATAATTGAGAAGGGGATCATTTGGCATATTTCAAGCTGGATGATGTTCTATTTATACTTGGTAATTGAGATACCAGTATCTTTAAAATTCTAGTTGAGATCCAGAGCCAAATATGTAACCCTTAATTTTTAATGATGGGACAAAGGTTCACTACTCCAAAAGATGTTTTAAGACCTATCAAACTTGAATTTTTAACTCACCTAAAAGCCACTTAAATATAAGCTTGTTTATTGTGACTAATAAGGATTGATCTTATCTAGGATACCTAATATCAGAAGTATTTTAACATATGTATAATAAGCTATCTTAGGCTTGGGACCCAAGTCTAAACAGAAAACTCACTTGTTTTGTGTATACTTTATATACATAGCCTGAAGATAATTTTTAAAATTTACTCATTTTATATATATGTATTTTACCTGCATTCATGTATGTATGTTTATGCACCATATATGTGCTTGGTGCTTTAGAGGACATTGGATCCCAAGGAAGTGAGTTATGGATGGTTGTGAGCTGCCATGTAGATGCTGGGAACTGAACCTTGGCCTTAACTGCTGAGCCATCTCTCCATCCCCCCTGAAGATAATTTTATATAATACTTTTACTATTTTTGTACATGAAATGAACTTATGGTAGGAAATTTTACCATTGTGACATCATGTCACTACCCTCAAATATTTATTGTTTTGAATTTAAAGATGTTTAACTAACACACTTTGTATGTGGTTTTATGAATTATTAAAAGGGAATATATTGTTCTAAGAGGTATTCATTACTATATCTTTCAGAATTTGATTGTCGAACTGAGTTAGGAATTCTATTAAGAGTTAGAAGCCAGCCTGGTCTACAAAGCAAGTTCCAGGAGAGCCAGAAACCCTGTCTCAAAAAACAACAAAAAACCTGCTAGGGGTTGCTAGATGGCTTAACAGGTAATAAAACGGTTCTTGCTACAAATCCCGATGGCCTGAATTCCATCTCTGGAACTTATGATGGAAGAAGAGAACTGACCCCACAGGTTGTCTTCTGTTCTCCACACATACAGTATGGCATGTGCATGAACACACACAAACTCACCCAGTGAGTGAGTGCTCAAAAAGAAAGAAAAAAACATCTGTTAGGCTGGCTGTTACGTTTCCACTTATCATCATGTTAGGATTTGAAATAGACCCTGGAAGCCCTTGATCACAGAATTCCTTGATGGTCCTTCAACTGTGAGGTTGAGAATTCTGAGACTGAACTTTTCTCTGTTGGGTAGGAGATATAGTGACAAACTTCAAAGGTGTATGGACATACTGATTTTATTTTATTTCATTTCTTTATGTTGACATGTGGATCTCACCAGGTAGCCCTGGATGGCCTAGACTTCTAGGCTGTGTAGATCAGGATAGCCTCAGACTTACAAAGATCTGTCTGCTTCTGCCTTTCAAGTACTGGAATTAAAGGTATGTGCCACCTTGCCTGGACAGGCCCTGATCCTTTTGCTTCTCGAGGACACTGGTTGGGTACTGCAGTTTTATCTCTTACTTTGGTTGTGTTGTAAAATATTTATGTGTTCTATATGTGTCATGATATGAATAAATCTTGGGAAACATGGGTTAGCAAATTCAAGCCTTGTAAGGTTGGAGCTCACTAAAGGCCCCAGGATAGAAACTTGCCGGAAGATTTATCAGGATACTTAAGCATTGGCTCTCTGTGCTCTGTTTTATTAGAGGATTAGCGTCTGGACACCCAGTCTTTGCAAGGGCAGAATGATAATTTTCTCCTCTTAAACCACAATAGAGCTATTTGGAATTTATTACTGATGTTTTCATAGATATTCATCAATCTTAAGAACCCTGAATTAGAGTAAAGCTGGGTGTGGGGTTGGTTTTGACATAAATTAACCACCTAATAATGAACAGTTTACTTATTTTCTTCAATGTTAGTGTATTCCTGTTTATTTATACAGACAGGGAACTTTGATGTTTTCTCACTTGTCTTCCACTTACCCCAGTCTTCACAGTGGATCTATAACAGACCAAAAGATTGAGCTATTTTGTTTTCTTCTAATAAACTTTTAGGCCTCAGAGAACTTCTCTGTTAATAGGCATGATGAAACTTTAAAGGTTAATTTGGTGGAGCAAGGATAGAAGTTTTGTTCGGTATTGTACTTGATGATAGACTGGAAGTAGGGATTAACCTATCCGTTCATGACATAGCTTATTTGTTAGAGGGGCAGAGACTTCCTTGGATGGATTGATTTTATATTTTATCCATTTTCTTTTCCTATAATACTCGGAGTTAGAAAAGATAACCAGTTACCCTGTTATTTCTAATTTACAAGGTTGAAATACCTGAGAGGGAACAGGATTAGAACTTTTTTTCAAGCAGGGCATGGTATACTCGCCTTTAATCTCTGCACTTGAAAGCTAGGAGAATCTGGAGTTCAAGGTCACTCTGTACTATATAGCAAGTTCTAAGCAGCCTATACTATACAGAGAGACCCTGTCTTAGAAAATCAAAAAGAGGGGCTGGAGAGATGGCTCAGTGGTTAAGAGCATTGCCTGCCCTTCCAAAGGTCCTGAGTTCAATTCCCAGCAACCACATGGACCACATGGTGGCTCACAACCATCTGTAATGAGGTCTGGTGCCCTCTTCTGGCCTGCAGGCATACAGACAGAACATTGTATACATAATAAATAAATAAATATTAAAAAAAAGAAAATAAAAAAGATTAATAAATATTTAAAAGTTTCCTTAGAGGGCCTTGAGAGAGTGAAGAGTCTTATGTACTGAGTTTCAGCAAGCTAAAGTTGCTTAGTGGTTACTGCGTGAATATAAGAAATCATCAAACTAAAAAGTTTAGGAGAGTTTTTAAGATATTTGTGCTTGATTTAAGTATTTATATGTATGTGCATAATGTATTTGTTTATTGGGAGTGGGGAATAGTGGGAGAAGGGAGGACCATACTCGGTTTTATTATTTTGTAGGTAGCTAATCAAGCCTTCTAATTTTAAATGAAATAGCATTTAATTTTGAGCTCATGTCGAATGTTTTATAGTCACGATTAGGAATCTTAGGTAATATGGTTAATGTCTGAGTTATGTTTGAGAATATGATTATACTTTTCAGCTTAAGTTGTCATCTGTAATATTGTATCATTTGTTTTTTAGCAAGGGTCTGCTAGAAATATAACAAAGTTTCAAATACTGTGTTTTCCCACAACTTTTCAAAGCTGCAGTCTTGGTGCTAAGGTGGAATCCTGGAGGCTCTCTATCAGCAAGACACTGACAGGTTTGGGTGTGCCTTGACTTCTATCCTACAGTTTGCTAACCACCCCCAGCCAGGGAACTGAGTGTGATTTGGGCCATATTCTTAAATAAAGTTGGATTTGTTACTAGTTACTGGAAAAGGATAGAAGGAATCTGGCTGTAGTGGGCAGGGTTAGTGTTCTGTGGAGGAGTTCAGGAGGATATGTTTTTGGCTTTTTGGCCTTCAAATTTTTGTCCTATATTAAGGAATTGTGTTGCTGTTACATTTCTCATATTCATGATGATAAAGGTATATAAATGATTTTATTTCCCATGTGTTCTATTTATAGATTTTTTTAAATTGTGTATTTTTTTTAAAAGGTTACATCGGTTCTATAAGCTTCCTATGTTTTTATCTTTGCTAGAATTATTAAAATGTTGTATAGAACTAATATTTTTTTCTTTTTCATTCCCATACAGGAAGGAGAAGTTTATTGTTTATGTATTCACTGTTACCAATTTAAAACAAACATTTTGTCTGAGGATTCACTGTTTGCCAGATTCCTACTTAAACATGCATATATATACTCTTTTATAGGAATTTCAGCTTTTCATTTGATATTAGATATGGGTAAGTAAAAATGAGACTTCTACAGCTCTGAAGATTACCAGTAAACGTTTAGAGTTAACGGTGAACACAGTCATGTAATTTCCCACACCTCTTAATAGTCAGGTACTGTTCTGGATTTCAAGTACTAGTAATTGAACCTAGGGCCTCACACATGTTAAGCAAGTAGTCTATCACTGAGCTACCTCTCCATCCCAGAGAACTGAGTTACTTTGAAAACAATCATTGTAGTGTATGGTTTTTGTTTTGTTTTGTTTTTTGGTTGCTGCTAAAGTCAGAACTTGGGAAGAGATCTAATGGTCTTTATAAATCCTCTTTATCATTTCATAGAGAAATGACTTAAAGAAACCAGACTTGCTTCCACGAAACTTCTCCTTTTAACAAGGTGTTTAGCCACATAACATCATTAGCAATGAGACATTCTTAGTTTAGTGTCTTATAATCTTGAGATACCAAGAGCAACTCTGAGACAAAAAAATCTATATGAGCTTTTAGCAATAGCCTGATTACTACCCGTTCTGCCCGTTCCCTAGGACTAGTGGATACAAGTATCTTTCAGGAGCTCTATGTTTATCTTTACATATAGTTCTAAGTGTCCTAGACTTTGAGTAAGAAAAGGCTATAAACATTTTTTTCTGACTGATGGAAAACAAATATTTTATAATGCATTAGGTGTGCTCATGAAATAAAAGTTTCACAATAAAGTGATTCTGTTTTCTAATTTACTCTGTTGTAGTCTGTTCTTTTTCATTAAAAAAATAATAGAAGCTGAGAATGGTGGCACATGCCTGTAGTTCCTGCACTTAGGAGATGAAGGCAGGAGGGAGGATTAAGACTTCAAAGCAGCATCCTCTAGGTAGTGAGTTTAAAGTCAGCCTGGGCTGCATGAGACCCTGCCTGAAAAGTAAATAAACATAAAAAATAACGTACAAACTTAATATAAGTGGTTTTTGTTTTTTTAATGATAGAGCAGAATTACTGTTTCAGTTATGGTCTGAAAGTAGCAAAAGTGAGGGATGGCTCAGTTGGCAGATTATTTGTCTAGCATGGATGCCCTGAGTTTGATTCCATCCCTACCACTGCATACCCCAAGTAATTGATTCCACACTTGTAATCACAGGTGGGAACGGGAAGATCACAAAGTCCTTAAGGTTCCGTGGGTTCATGGGGAGTTTGAAGTCCACTTGGACAAATGAAACCTTGTCTCAAAAACAAAACAAACCATTTAAAAATAGCAAAGTAAATTTTAAGGTAAGTTCCTTTTTGTGGACACTGCAAATACTTGGCAATCAATAAGAGCAAATATATTGACCCTTTGGTCTGTGACAGTAACATTTAATCCTGTGCCCTAGGGATAATTTTTTTTTGTGCAAGTAGTCAATGTTTTAATTAAACCAGCAAGCAGACAATATCATTTAGGTCAAACTGATTATTTCCAGTAAAGTAAAATAGCACATCTACAGAATTAACTCTCAGATTTTCCTGTATTGGTGATCAGGGTAGAGGGAAGTCAAACAGCATTTAAACCTGATTCTGTTGCCATTGGTCTTAGATTCCTATTTTCTTCTTTGAAATTTGCTTAAGAATATGACTTAGTTGTTACCTGCTATCGGTGGTCCAGAAAGGACAGCCTTTCCAGCAAAGAAACTGGCATATCCCAAAAACTTGTGCACTCTAGAATTCTTAGACAGATCGACCTGCAATTAGAATTCAGTGTTAATCATTTTAAGGATGAACATCTCCGGTGTCTTATGTTTACAAAGGGGTGACAACGTTTTTGTTTTTTTTGTTTGTTTGTTTATTTTTGTTTGTTTTTTTTTTTAAATCTTAAACTAAATGGTTTGATTCCTGGGATGATTTGAATAACTTTTTGCTCCCAGTGCTAGGAAAGGGAACAAAAGTCAACTAGGGAACAGCACTTTGGCTAGGCAAAGTAGTGTTTTCAGTTTATTAGTGGGGTACGTTGGTGTTTGATTTATATAGTTCAGGAGAGTACCTCCCAAACCTTAGTGATTTTCCCATTAGGAAATAGTATTTTGGCAGTCTGCACTTACAGTAATAATTGGATCTACATACGACTGACTACCAGCCATAGGTTTATAAGAAATTTAGTAACACAACGAGCTGATTTCAACCTTCGGAAGCTGGAATTTTGCCTAAGCCTCATACACTGTTCTATAAAATAGTTCAGTTCCATTTGAATTCAGGATTTAAGTCAGTTTACAATAAAAACGAAGAACTTGTCAAAACAATGTCCTTAACATAGAAGCCACATTTGTTAGACTTACATGCTTGTGTTCTAGTAAGAATCAGACATCCCTGGAGCCTGGAGGGGAGGAGTGAACAGAAGACCATTGGAATCTTTCTGATCTCTGTTCCATTTCCAGTTCTATGCAGCTAATCCTCAGCTTCTTTTCCTCACATGGTAAGATAAATAATGACAGGATATAGCTAGCTTTAGAGTTTCTGAGGTCTCATGTAATTTTTGTTTTGTTTTCCGAGGCAGGGTTTCTCTGTAGCTTTGGAGCCTGTCCTGGCACTAGCTCTTGTAGACCAGGCTGACCTGGAACTCCCAGAGATCCGCCTGCCTCTGCCTTCCGAGTGCTGGGATTAAAGATGTCACCAACACCCGGCTTCATGTAACTTTAGTCATAAAAATAATACAAAATTTGAATTCTCTTTTGGGAAAACTGTTACTGAGCCTTGTATTGAGAGTTTAACATCAGTGAATGAGTTTACTCACCAGTACTGGGAGTATCAGTGCCAGGTAGCCACCAGCAAAAATGGCAAAAAAGATGGTATAGGCCATAAGGAGTGGGAATGTGGTGGCTAAAGGAGCAAGCAGGTTAGTAACACCACATAGAATGAGGTAAAATTTATGGTATTGATACTTCTTGATCCAGTTTTGATCAGCAATCCATCCAGAAATAAGCTGACTGACTGTCTCAGTGATACCTGGAACAGTAAATACAAAGTCAGGCAATCTTTGTTTCCTCACACCCTTTGTAAAAATGTCAGTGTATAAGCACATCTTTCTCCAAGTAGTAGCACTCTGTTTTGAGGCCAGAATACATGAAGGAAAAATGATTTCATACTGAAATAGGATATATAAGTTACTTCCTCTTCTAAACACATTTAATAAAATAACAAAATGCTGCCTCCAGCAGAACATGAAACCATCAAATTCCCATGTGTTTTCTCATTTTGTGTGGAATCCCTGCTTTAAAAAACAGACATGAGCTGAAGAGATCTTACAGCTTCTTAAAAGAACTTGCAAGTGAGGATATGAAACTTACGTGTCAAGAGGAGTCATGGTAAAACATGGGAGAAATTAAAATCTTATATTAAGAGACACTGGAACTTATATTTGTTTATGAAGCTTTGGAATTTAAGACTTCCAAAGGTTATTGTAGTTTGAAAATATGTAAGAAGTCTAAAAATGTCATTTGGGACATAGGTGGTAAGGTGTAATGAGCCACAGTTTTTCACTCAGCATTCTTACCATTTATCCTGTTACAGGACATAGCAGTTAAAATACCAAAAGAGAAGCATGAAGCCAGGTGTGGTAGCATGGGGAGGTAGGGCAGCTCTGTAAATTCAAGGCCAGCCTACTCTGCACAGTGTAACATCAGTTTTGACTGAAGTACATTGAAACTAGGTGTCCAGCTTTGTAAGGGCTTGGCTAGTAAGAAACCTGTTGAAAAGTTGAACTACTGAGAATTGCTGGGTTAGAGCAAACCAAGATTCGATCTTACCCCTTTTCATTTGTTTCAGACTCCTTGTTTTGTTAGGTGTCTACAACCTAAATGTACAACCTAAGCATTTGATCTTACAACATTTTGTAATTCCATAAAAATAATTGTATTTTTCTAATTTATGTTCTAATTTACTTTAAGTATGAACCTGTGGATTAGTGACTAATTCAAGGGTCATATTTATCTCACGATTATTTCAAGAAGAAATTACTTAACATCAAATACCAATAGTGTGGGCCTGGCACTACACTGAATTGCACTTATTACATCCCTAATACAGCTGTGAAAGAAAGCAGTGCCTTACACCTGTCCTATAGATAAGAAAGGAAATCCTGGCACAGAGGAGAACGTCTTGCCCAAGGTCACACAGCAAGGAAATCCAGGCAAGACCCTGACCCTTCAGAATCCATCTTTCCAGTTACCGTACTGTTTTCTAGCTGAGATTTCCTTCTTCCCAGACTAGTTGTTGACAGCACCAGCTTTCTGAAATTTTCTGCCCGAGAAGTAATTGGTATCTACTGTGTTAGACACCTGAAAATGAGTAAGGTGAGTTAGGCCCACTCAGATCCCCGATCGCAGTTGACAGATCTGCTTAGCCGCAGAGGACTTGCTTCCCTAGCCTTCCACAGCCCACTCGTGATTGCTCTTGCTATTTCCCTCCATTCTCTCCTTCAGTTTTAAAATAAAATTTTACCAAGCTATTTTTCCTTCTAGGTAGGAGGCTTGAAATAGATTTTCTTACCAGCTACAGATACAAGGTAGGAGGCATCCATTATGTCAATTCCAAGAGTTTTGGCTCTGGCTACTAGGTGAAAAGTAGGAATGAAATAGGCTAGTTGACTGAGGAGAAAAGACCAGGTAAATATATAGAAGAAAGGATTCCTAAAGAGAGAAATATCTAAAAGATTTTGTTTACATTTCCATGAAACAAACTTTTTTTGGTAACTTTTGTCATTGCTCATAAGTGACAGTCTGTTCCTGTGAGGTCCATTGTCGAACTCTTCACTTTGATGTTCTAAGACAGTTAAATTTTTAGTCAGTTGTTCAGATTTCTTCATAGAAATGCTTTGGATACAAGACTCTTGTGTCTCATTGCAGTATGATGTTTCTGTCCTGTTTGATGCCTCGGGTCCAGTTGCAGACAAACTGCTACCTTTGTTTTTGATACCAGAATTGTTCACTGTTTCGGTGCGGATGGGCCTTAAGAGCATGCTGGAAGGCACCAAATTCAATGCAATAGCTCCAAATAATATAAGAGCACCTAAGTGGAAGAGAAATTGAGAAGATAAGAATACTCTTCAGTTCGTGGTACTTTCTATTTATAGGCTCAGAAGAGACCAACAGACTTAGTCCAATAATTCTTGAAAGTACTACTTTGCTTCCCATGTTTACTTAAAAATCCATTTTATTTATGTCTGTCTGTCTCTGTCTCTGTCTCTCTCTCTCTCTCTCTCTCTCTCTCTCTGTGTGTGTGTGTGTGTGCATGTGTGTGGCCCACTGAAGCCAGAAGAGAATTAGATCCCCTGGAGCTGAAATTCCAGGCAGTTGTGAGATGTCAGATTGGTCATCCGGAAGAATAAATAGCAAAATGCCTTTAACTGCTGAGCCATCTCCTTCCCTGCTTCCATAATTTAACTGAAAGCATTTAAATCTATTAACAGTATACATGCTACAAAAAATGAAATACTTTGGAGATAGAAAACCAGGAAGTTGGACCAAGAAGTCATGAAAAGAAGGGGGGAGGGGTTGAAGGTGGGTTGATAATCTGAATGACTCAAAATTACAATACATTCTTAATGGTTATTTTAAATATATTGCAGTGACTGGATTTTGGTGTAGGAAATACAGAATTAACCAGTGGGAATCATGGGGGAAACATTAGGAAAAGAAACAGTCTTTCAGTCTGATATTTTTTTAAACACTTTTGAAAGAAGACATGCTAGTCTTGCCCTAGATACTGAGTGCTTGATTGGTTTTGGTGTGTCCTGAACAAGTTATGACGTGTTTTTGGAGAGAACAAGTTATGTAGGCTTTCTTAAAGGTTTGTCAGCTGAAGATTACCATTCACCCTGAGATTACTGAGTAAGTGCTCTACATAGGAAAGAGTCAATACAACAATATAAAGACAGAAATAGACATGAACATTTTAAAGAAAATACTTCAGAAGTGGTTTTGTGAAAAATTCTAGTATACACACACACACACACATATATGATTGTCCAATCGGAGCCTAATCTTTTTACAAATACTTTCTTCATATAATCTATTTTAGTGAAGGGTTAGAGGAAAAGGAGAAGAGCATTGTTTTTCTGAGGGCCTTCCAGTTGGCTCTCAGGCATTGAATTCCAGAGAGTTCTGAGTGAGCTAGCAAAGTCTCCAGGCCATGGAAGATCTTTCTTTCTCTCTCGCTCTCTTTCTTCTTTCTTTTGTTTTTTGAAACAGAGTTTCTCTGTAACTTTGTAGCTTGTCCTGGAACTAGCTCTGGTAGATCATGTTGACTTTGAACTCACAGAGATCAGCCAGCTTCTGCCTCCCAAGTGCTGGAATTAGAGGCCTGCACCACCTCCCAGCCGTTTTCTTTCATGCTTTTTAAGGAAGGAGATGTTCTTCCATTCAGTATCATCCTTATTTCCCCTCTCATTATCAGTGCTAGGGATTAAACCCAGAACCTTGTGTGTAAATACTATAGCAACATCTGCAAGTGTTTTCACTTTGTGTGGTATGGTACCTCATTTCCTTAATCCCAGCATTGCCACAAGTTTGGGGCCAGTCTTGTCTACTTAGCAAGATCTGGACTCGCCAGGGAGCAAGGAAGCAGAATTTATTGGTCTCAAAGCTTCACTCATCATCAAAGGGAAGGGGGAAACATTAACCTTTTGGTGTTGATAGTTTAGAAACTTAGACTAACTCACCTGTCCAGTCATAAAGATCTATCAGGAATTTTGTGAAGGGTGCCAGCAGAAACGTCAGTCCCATTCCAGAACGGGCAATCGCTGTAGAAAGACCCAATCGTTTTTTGAAATATTTGGTAATTACCACAGCAGCTACTTGGTACAAGAAAGCAGACCCCAATCCTAAAAGAAAAACAAGTTTGAAATTACTTTCTTATTAGGTTATTAGTTACCAGATCACATAATCTATTTAGGAGCCTTGGGCAGTAGAAAGGTTTCTTGTTCATCTTTGATAGTCTCTTCACAGTACTCACCAGGTAACAGTCCCATAGTCACACAAAGAAAGGGAATGCTTGTGGCCCAACTGCTGACCAGATAGCCACCAGAAACAAGGAAAGTCCCAAGAATGGAGGTAGGTTTTTCTCCGAGTATGTCACAAATAATAGCAGCCAGGGGACCTTAAGAGAAGAGAGAGTGCTACGTTAACGTGTAGTGATACTTTTTAACAAATAAAGCTTGCCTGAAGATCAGAGTACAGAGCTAAGCCACTAGAAACCAGGGAGTGGTGGCTCACACCTTTAATCCCAGCACTAGAAAGGTGGAGATGGGAGTGATGATTGGGCAGAGAGGAATATAAGGCGGGAGATGACAGGAACTCATTTCAGTCTGAGTTTAGTGAAGACAGATGCAGTCAGGAGATGCAATCTGAGGACAGAATTGCCCCTTCAGTCTGAGCATTGGTAGAGATAAAAGAACTCTAGTGGCTGCTGGCTCTGCTTCTCTGATCTTCAGCATTAACCCCTATATCTGACTTTGGGATTTTATTATTACTACCAGTTAGAATTCGTGCTACATTAATGTTCTCTGGCACTCCTTAGTCCTTATGTGTGATTTGAATCAATGTGAAGAAGACAGTATAACCGCTTTAAAGTATTGTATACTCAATAAAATTTTATTTACACTAATGGCAAAGTTGAATCACTAATCTCCATATTATCATATTACTGAATTAGAACTAGAAGAGAAATTGGTTTAATGTTTGTTTTTAATATGATCACATAATTAAAACTGAATGGTTTCATTTTCAGGTTGAGGACTTGGCTCACTGGACTGAAAGCCTTACCAGACTAGAAAGAAACAAGGGACGAAAAATTCCATTCATGAATCAAATAGTTGGATTTTTAATTCCTGTTTAACCCTAATTTTCCCAACTTAATTGCCAGATTAAGTAGAGCTTAAACACTGGCGTCTCTTTCAGTATTACATACTGATATTAATGCATATTAATAAGTAAAGTTGAATGTAACAGTACTTCAACCTTAAAGGAATGATGGTGTTGTCAAGACCTTTGTGGTCGTTCTCTGTAGGAAGCAAGCTTGTTGCCAGTTTCATACCTGCAGAGAAACGGAGTGCTGACATGATGGATCCAATCCAACCAATTTGCTCTGAAGTGCCTTCAAACTCTTCTTGAAAGACCACAAAGAATATTGCAAATGTCTTGGTCATTGCCATCACAAACACATTTACCTAAACCAAAGCATATCAGTCCTTGTTAGGTAGAAAGCAGGCTAGTGCTATTACCAGAGGTTCTATTGCTCCAGCGTTTCAATACTTACCTATTTTTCTTATTGGTGCTTTCTGGTTACGTAATGGGGGTGAGAAGCAGTTCATTCCTCTTTAAAGTGGTGGGACATGGCCATGAAAATATAGACTTGAAATCCCCATTTCAAGTCTGAAAAGGATGTGTGTCACCATTGTTTTATAGATGAGAAGTTAAGAGAGAAAACAAATGGGCAATGATGGTCCAGACACCGAGGCTTGTATCCTAGACTGACACCAGATTCACCACTACTCTTGTTTTCTTGTTGTATAGCAGTCCAGGAGGTTGCTTGTTCCAGATGCCTTTGGTGGGGACTTTCTGTTTGGATAGATACTACCCTTCCTCGAATCCTAAAGAATCATGACCAACACCCACCTTACTTGAATCAACATTTCCAATCTTATTTCACAATAGTATCTCTTATCTGAAGGCAAGAGACTGAGAGTTGGCAATGGTTAGAAGGCTTTCAAAGTTCAGGAAGGAGTCCTAAACAGTTTTCTCATTCTGATTTGAAAGTACAAAACAAAACTTGGGGCTAGAAAGATGGCTTAGTGTTTAAGAGCACTTGTTGCACTTCCAGAGGACCCAGGTTCAGTCTCCAGCACCCACAATCTGGCAGTCTATTATAACTTTCCTCCAAATAAAAAACTAGCAAATTGTGTAAATGTCAAAATAGAGTGTACTTCTTCTGAGCAAGGACCACCAATGTGAAATGTCATTTTGTAAGCTTTTTTCCTGTGTGTGTGAGCTATGTGGTGATGATGTCCACAGAATGCTTACCTGGTTTGTGTGTGTGGTTTTTTTTTTTTTTTTTTTTTGAGAAAGAGTCTATGTATGTAGTCTTGACTGTCCTAGAACTGTGTAGGCATGGTTGACCTTGAACTCACAAAGGTCCTCCTGTCTCTGCCTCCCAAATACTAGGATTAAATACATGTGCCACCGTAACCGGCTTACCTCTGTTTTTAATCATCTGAATATGGCTTGCTCTTGGTCTCCAGTAAGAACGTTTCTTTATTTAGATTGTTTCTTATTCCTTCTAACTCTAGCATTGGGGCGTGACCCCAGACTGTGTTATGTATTCACTGAGTCTCAGGAAAGGAAAGGTGGAACTCCTGCATTTCCCCAGCCAGCACTTTTAACTTCATAATTCATTTCTATTGGGACTCAAAAAAATACTAAAGACTTATCCCAATGTCTGTATTTTCCCTTCATTAAGCAAGCAGACTCCTATATCAGTCTTGATCCTGTGTCTTGGATCAAGTTTGGTAGGTGTTGGTCCTGCTTCAGTCTTCATCGGCCTTTGTAATTGTCTCACTTCCAAATCAAGCAAAAACCTAGGAATGGTCCAACCCCTAATTTCCAACTTAAAAGCAGTTTTTTGTTGTTTTGGTTTTGGTTTTTTGAGATAGTTTTTCTTTTTTTCTCTGTGTAGCCTTGGCTGTCCTTGAACGCTCTGTAGACCTGGCTGGCCTCAAATGCAGAGATCCACCTGCCTGTGCGTCCCAAGTGCTGAAATTAAAGGCAAGGGCAAATACCAACTGGCAAAAACAGTTATATTAGACCCATAAGAATACTAAGTGGTTCTTACTCGTTTGTGTGTTTTAGATCAGCCTTGACTCATTTTGAAATCACTGCCAGTTGTTAGGGTCACTTTTAATTAATAACAGTTTCTTACTATCCCAGGCCCTCCTGTAGTAATAGCCTAGCTTGTCCTGACCTTCACAAACAAGTTTCTTCATAGTCTGTTGATTCTATTTATCGCAGTAGCCCACTGAAAACTGAAGTTCAGTAGCTTAGTGCTCTTCATCTAAGAGCTCTGGCCAAGGTTATCAGAGAGTTGTTTATTGTTAAGCCAGATTGTTCCCATCTCTATTGTGTGATCTCAGCAGTGCCCATGCATCATTTTTCTCTGATAATTTCTAGACATCTGCCTACTTCTATGCTTTTTCCCCATCTCTGAATGATTCCATTCATCCCGCATTGAGTCCCCCCAAGATTTGTCCTATTCCTCTTTTCTCTGGTGGTTTTAAACAGTGTCTCTTGGAGACACAGGTTGCTCTACTTCAGATGCATATAGACTATATCAAGCCTGTTCGTGGTTATAAGCCCCTTGGACTCTGTTCAAGATTAAGCCATTCCAACTGTTCAGAGTGTTTTTTCCTGTTCCTCCTAACTTGAGTGAATGGCATTCATCACTCACCGAAGTGCTTCAGCTAACAGCTCTGGACTCTTTATATTCTTTGCTGTGCAGGTTCCTCTCTGCATCTTAGCCTGCCCTCTTGATATGCTCAGATCTGTATTTTAGTAATTCCTGGTGTTTTCCTTAAATTTGGGGCCTTATTTGTTTTCTTGCCTATGCTGCAGCTTGTCCAATAGATACCCTGTGTCTAGATACAATCCTCACTAGTCCATTCAGTAATGGACTAATCACCACAGATGTAACTCTAAAATACTTTCCTGATTAACTTGCCTCACTTAAACTTCATATCCTCAGAACAACCAAAATCTGTTATTTTTCTGAGATTATCTCACTGTGCTGCCCAGGCTAGCCATGGTCCTCCTGCCACTGCCTCCCAAGTGCTGAGATTACAGGTGTGCACCACCACATCTGTCCCTTAACGTGTTTTCTATAGCCTCTCTGCACCTCTGACTTCCTCTACCCTCTTGTTTACTTACAAATGTGTCTGTTTATCAGATTATTCATCCCCCACAAGCAGGTATTTAATGAATGGCTACTGTGTTTCTGGCTGTATAATTCAGAGAAGGCATATAATATGTCTGGTAAGACATACTAAACACAGAAACAGTTATATATAAAGTCTGGTAAGTTGCAATGTAACCTTCCTATGCCTTTGTAGGGGAGCTTACAAAGTACACAGAGAATTTTTTTCACTATTTCAGGAGTTTAAGTGTTATGGGAAAGTAGTCTTGGTAATTCATTCAGAAATAAACGCAGTGGCCTGTAAGGATGCACATTATCACTGTGAGCAGTGAGTTGGCCCGAGTTCATTGTTAACAGTTTGCTATATCTTTTGTGCTTCAATAAGCATCATCATATTACCCAAACAAGATGTTATTAACCTGATTGTGAGGTGCCTTTTCTTAGCCGTAACTAATCAAATAACTTGCTAGCCATTGAGAAAAATGTAGAAAAAAGTGGGAGAACCAGACTACCCAACAATACCAGCACCATAAACCATGCTTTGAGAGGAGGCCTAACCAGGCAGGGATCTGAGACTTAAGGCATCTTTAGTTTCCCTGTTAGTAATGTTTCTATGTAAGGGGAGGAGAAATGCTAGTCTTTGGTAATGAAGCCAGAATTCAGCAACGTGTGCTTTATTGTTTTATAATACACAAACCTTAGCTGAGGATCTCTGCCTTCTTTTTTTTTTTTTTTTTACCATTAGGGAGGGGTAATGCATTATGTTTTCCCACCTCCAATTTCATACAGATGTTACTCACCGGTACATTGGGCTCCCATTGTGTGGGCTGTTTGTTGTAAATCTAAGCGGGGGAGGAATGTCAAGAAAGAGGTGTTTTTGTGAGTGTGTCTCAAAGTTGATAGAATGATCTAGGGATGCACGGGTTGAGGCACAGCTGTGGATGGGATCCATCAGTGTTTGGAATGATCTAGGGATGCACGGGTTGAGGCACAGCTGTGGATGGGATCCATCAGTGTTTGGAATGATCTAGGGATGCGCAGGTTGAGGCACAGCTGTGGATGGGATCCATCAGTGTTTGGCACGCTGACAATGCACATCACCACTTTCTCACATAGCAAACCCAACAGTTCTTGGAGATGAGGGTAAGGAGTCTTAGCTTTACAATACGTGTCAGATATACAATGTTTATTCTAGTTTAAGTTATTGGGGGGGGGGGGAATGTGGGCAGCAGGTGGAATGTTCCCAATCCCCATCAATGAAGGAAGCTGTCTCAGTTGACCTTCTATTTCTGACTAAATACTTGAGAAGAAAAGGGTTTATTTTAGCTTACAGTTTATAAATTACCATGAAGCCGGACAGGAACTGAAGCAGAAGCTCTGGAGGAATACTGCTTTTCCCAGCTTGCTCAGTTTGCTTTCCTAAACAACACAGGACCACCTGTCCAGGGGTGGCAGTGAATGGGACTCTTCCCACATCAATCGTTAATCAAGAAAATTCCCCCCACAGACTTGCCTCCAAGTCATTCTGATGGAAGCAATTCCTCAGCTGCCGTTCCTTCTTCCCAGATGTGTAGGTTTGTGTCAGGTAGACAAAAACCAGCACAAAGACTACTGTTAGAATTATTGTGGACATGTTAGGCTGAGTGGGCACTTAATTTTGAGATAAGGTCTTGCCAGGTGTGATTGCCTGGCCTTGATCTCTCAGCAATCATTTTGATTTGGTCTCTTTGAATGCTGGAATTTTAAGTATGATAGTCTCCCACTGGCAGGACTGATAACGTTCTAGAAATGCCCAGTGATGGCCCTAGTGTAGTAAGAAATGCCGTGTCCCCAAATCCCAATTGCCATGCTGCCAGGGCAGAACTGCCAATCAAGCCTGGAGCATTCTCTGATTGAGAGATCATAGACAGAGGAGAGGACTGGGTAAGAATATAAGAATGTTTCTACTTTCAAGAGAAGCAGCTCAGCTGGGTTTAGCTGGGTTGGCCTTTGATCTTCGTAGTTTGGGGAAAGTTCCTGGCTGCCTGTTTACTCAAATCTCATTATTTCTTAAGTGATATCTGTTAGGCTTCAAGCTTTTCTCCAGACAGTTTAGCAGCTTGAAAGGGGAGAGAAACTTACCAGAAAAAAATGCAGCACGATCATCCATCCCCATCCTCCATCCGGGGTTTTAGCCTTTTCTCCCCTGTGCATTGTGGTGCTTCCTTTATGTTCCAGACAGATCACTGTGGCAGATTCAAAACAGTTGCTTCAGTAGCCAAGGAAGTGATCTAAACTTACGTGGGTCTCTCTCTTCTCTCCCCCCCCCCCTTCTTTCTTTCTTTAGTTGTTTTTAAGATCTGGTCATGCTTTGTAGATCTGGCTAGCCTAGAACTCATGGCAGTCCTGCCTTCTCCTGAAAGCTGGGATTGTAGGTGAATGTGGTTAAACTTTTAAATTTTATTTTTTTTTTCTCCATGGTATAAAAGCAGTTGTTCTGGGATTATAAGGGCTACTCATGTTCAAAATCTCCACCACCTATAGGCAATTCTTGAGGAAGCCATATATTGCCCTTCCAGTTCTGCAGACCAGTCCTTGACTTTAAAGGAAAATAAATGGGAGTGATACCTTGGGTTTACCAGCCCCTTTATATGGCATTAGGTATTTTAAAGAACTAGATACCCCAACAAAGTACATTATCTCTTTCTTAACTGGATACTAGATCAGGAAAAAAAATTGGGAAGCCCACTTGGGAAATATGAATGAACTGAAATAGAGGGTACTGTAGAGAGGTTAAATATTCTGGGTGTTATAGTGAATTTAGGAATAATCTGTGGGAGACTAGTCTCCACCTTAGGAGAGAGATGCTAGGAATTCAAGATTAGAATGTCATAGTGTGCTACCTTCAAACAGAGTTGAGTAAGTAAATACCTATATATTGAGAAAGAGTGAGAGGAGAATGTATGTGTTTTGAGCAATGGGTGTTATCCCTATTTCCCATGGTTAAAGCAGGCTGGGGTGTGTATGTGTGTGTGTGTAACATGTTAGACGATTAGGCTGGACAGAAAGATAACCAAGGGTGTGTGCGCGTGTTGTGCGTGTGTGTGAGACATCCATTAAATGATTAGGCTAGACAGAGCGATTCCAGTTATTCCAAGGCCCCTGAGAAAACCAACCCAACACCCAGTTCATTTTTACCTTACCTTTAAGGATGTGTTCTTCAAATGAATCCTCTTTAGACAAGAAAATTGTGGAGGAAAAAAAAGTTACTTTTCCTAAAATGTTACTTTTTTTTTCTAAGGTTTTTCATTCCGCTGCTTGGTGAAAACAAGCAGGCTTTTGTGTAGTCTTAACAGAGCAGAGTGGTTCAGGCACTCCTGCCGGTGGACTTTACTTCCTGAGGGAGGAGGAAAGGCGGTGTAACTTGAGATCAACTCAGGCCAGCCTTCCAGCCAGCCCACAAAGTAGACGTTTTCCATCACTGGTCAGAAGTGGTTGGAGTAAGCCAAGGAGAAAATCCTCCTAGTGACATCTCAAGCCTGCTGGGGGCGGGAGAGGGGGAGGGGAGAGAAGAACTGACACAGGGAACCCTCCAGATTTTTGAAACACTTGTCCAAAGTTCCTCAGGAAGTCTCAAGACCAGTTTATAAGAGAAACAATTCTTCCAGAACTGGGAGAGTCTTTTCTTTTGTTTTGTTTTTTTTTATTGGGCCACAAATGGCAATGTTAGAGCTGAAGATGTTGCCCTCTGGTAAAGTGCATGCTTAACTGGGGCACCTGGGTTTTGTCCCTAGTAACAAACACACAAAATTCTTCAGTAAATTCGGTCTGCTGTGTGCTCTTTTGTGCTCATTAACTAAATAGTATGATTACTAATTTGGGGTTTCAGGTACCATTTTAATTGCTGTTTTGAACCTAATTACTTTAATTTCAAATGTTTCCCATGAAAAAATGTATACTTATAGTAATTTTAATGAAACTTTTTCTCATTGCATTTTGGAATAAAAAAGATTAAGACTGAGTCCTAGAAAATTATTCCAATAATTCAACATTCCAGTCCAATTTCCTTCCTTTGCTCCAGCTTCCACATTAAAGAAAACAAAAATCAACAAGCAAGTGCCTTTGATCTCCCTGCACCAACATTCCAGATTTTAAACCAATGTGTGTTTTAAGCCAAAGTGTGAGTTGTTTGATCTTGAAATCTGTACTTTTTGCTTGTTTGTGTGCTTGCTTTTTAAACAAGGGGCTTCTCATCCTCTTAAAGTCCAGCTCCAATAATTTTTTATTTAAAATGCATGCAGTAGGATAGCTTAGTTTGGGAGGATGCTCAGCAAATCCATGGGAAAGATGGTGCATCTATGTGGTGTTGGTGGAAAAAAAAAATCAAACATTCAGAAGGCAAAACTCAGAGGAAGAGGAATACTTTTCAGAGAGATCTGTGATAATTATGTACCCTAGTAAATGTTTTTAGTGACCATTCATGAACTGTTTTCAAGGTCTTTTAAAGCAAAGCTCTGATTTAGTCACAAGAGATGAAGTTGGGTTTGGTGCTGACAGCTCTGTCTGGAGCCCTGGGACTAGACTGAGATGGAGTGCAGCAGCCATCTTTAGGTTCAGAGGACTGAGTCCTCAGAGATGAACCCCTTCAGACACACATTTGTATAACCACCTTAATAGAGACTGTTGACCCCTTCAGACACACCTTTATATAACCACCTTAATAGAGACTGCTGAGGGATAGTGGAATAGTGGGTGATGCTGTTTGCTTAGAATCTCAACTTTACATTTTAAGACTTGAAATTCTGAGCAAATTAACCTCTTAGAATTTGTTTCTGAAACTATAAAATGTAGTTAATGCTGTTTTTGCAAGATTGTGGTTAAGGGTTAAGGATACTTCTTACTGTTGTTCACGGCAACTCACACTTAGAATCTCACATGCTGAACCAAGGAGCCCTGTTGTGAATTTGAACAAATCTGGGTTAAAGTCAGACCCTGACCCCCAACCCAAAAAAGAAAAGCCAAACAAAAACTCATGAGTCATTCTTGTTAATCAGAAGAAAGAATTGTTAAGGTATCTGGGATATTAGTTAACATTTCGACACCCATCCCCATGGAGTAAAGTTGTAAGTCTGTAAGCATATGATTAGTTTCTCAGCTTTTAACCTTTTAACTCTTGGCCCTCAAGCTCTTTGGCAAGAATTTACTGTAATTCCTTACTACTGTTCTACTGTCAGACCACTTGTGAGTAGGACTCAGTTTAGTACAACATTACCAGGTTAAGAAAGTTATCCAGCCAAACCTTTTTTTGTCTTTGTTTAGTCCTTACCTTTAAAATTTTGGCTCACAAAGCCAGACGCAGTGGCACATGCCATTGCTCACAACACTCAGGAAGTAGAGGCAGGCAGGTATCTTGAGTTCCAGGCCAACCTGGTCTACAGAGCGAATCCCAGGACAACCAGGGCTATGCAGAGAAACCCTATCTTGAAAACAATATTATTATTATTATTATTATTATTATTATAAGCTTACAGTGTTGGCCTCCGACTGACTGGCGTTTGGGGAGTTAAGGTTTCAGGAGCCTTCCTTCCTACCATTTCATAAATCATGAGTGGATCACTGTTCCCATAGAGAACAAACAATCAGACTTAGGCTTCGCTCACTTCTGGGAACCTGGAAGTTTAGCAAATGCTCCTGTGATTGGCCTCCTCTGGGCACTGACTGAAGATGTTTCATAAGCGTCCTCATAACTCAGTGCTGCAGAAGGTGAGTAATTCTATGTGGCCTGATTGAAGGAGAATCTTGAATGTGCCTTGTATTTTCTTCCAGACACCATTTCCTTTTGTTAATTCTCCTTTTACTATAATAAACATGACCACAGGGAAATATTGAATCATTTGAGCCCTAGTGAATCATCAGAACTAAGTGTCTTAGTTAAGGTTTCTATTGCTGCAATGAAACACCATGACCAAGTTTATTTGGCTTACACTTCCATATCACTGTTTATCATCAAAGGAAGTCAGGACAGGAACTCAAACAGGGCAGGAACGTGGAGGCAGGAACTGATGCAAAAGCCATCGAGGGTGCTGCTTACTGGCTTGTTCAGTCTGCTTTCTTTCTTTTTAATTGATTTTTATTGAGCTCTACATTTTCTCTGCTCCCCTCCCTGCCTCTCCTCTCCCCCAAGGTCCCTATGCTCCCAATTTACTCAGGAGATCTTGTCTTTTTCTACTTCCCATGTAGATTAGATCTATGTAAGTCTCTTTTAGTGTCCTCATTGTTGTCTAAGTTCTCTGGGATTGTGATTTGTAGGCTGGTTTTCTTTGCTTTATGTTTAAAACCCACTTTTGAGTGAGTATATGTGATAATTGTCTTTCTGTGTCTGGGTTGCCTCACTCAAAATAATGTTTTCTAGCTCCATCCATTTTCCTGCAAACTTCAAGATGTCATTATTATTATTATTATTACTGTATAATAATCCATTGTGAAAATGTACCACATTTTCCTTATCCATTTTTCGGTCGAGGGGCATTTAGGTTGTTTCCAGGTTCTGGCTATGACAAACAAAGCTGCTATGAACATAGTTGAGCACACGTCCTTGTAGCATGATTGAGCATCCTTTGGATATATACCCAAAAGTGGTATTACTGGGTCTTGAGGAACGTTGTTTCCTAATTTTCTGAGAAATCACCACACTGATATAGAATATTCCATCCAGGGGGCTGGAGAGATGACTCAGCTGTTAAAAGCACTGACGGCTCTTCCAGAGGTCCTGAGTTCAATTTCTCAGCAACCACATGGTGGCTTTCAACCATCTGTAATGAGATCTGTTGCCTTCTTCTGGCCTGCAGGCATACATGTAGGCAGAACACTGGACACTAAATGAAAAAAAAAAGAATATTCCATCCAAACAGAAAAGAATATACCTTCTTCTCAGCACCTCATGGAACCTTCTCAATAATTGACCACATACTCGGTAACAAAACATACCTCAACAAATACAAAAAATTGGAATAACCCAACATACCTTATCAGATCACCATGGCTTGAAACTAGAAGTCAGCAGCAATACTAATTCCAGAAAATCCACAAACACATGGAAATTAAACAATGCTCACCTGAATCATCAATGGGTCAAGGAAGAAATAAAGGTAGAAATTAAAGACTTCCTAAAATTCAATGAAAATGACCACACAACATACCCAAATTTATGAGACACAATGAAAGCAGTATTAAGAGAAAAGTCCATAGCACTAAATGCTTACATAAAGAAGCTGGAAAAACCCCACACTAGTGAATTAACAGAACATTTGAAAACTTGAAAACAAAAAGAAGCAAACTTACCTAAGAGAACTAGATGGCAGAAAATAAATAATCTAAGTGAGAGCTGAAATCAACAAAATAGAAACAAAACAATACCAATGAGACAAAGAGTTGGTTCTTCGAGAAAATCAACAAAATACACAAACCTTTATCCAAACTAACCAAAAGGCAGAGAGAGAATATCCAAACTATCAAAATCATAAATGAAAAGGGGGACATAACAACAGACACGGAGGAAATACAGAGAACCATCAGGTCATATTTTGAAAACCTGTACTTCACAAAATTGGAAAACGTAAAGGAAATGGACAACTTTCTGGATAAATATCACTTACCAAAATCAGTCTGCTTTCTTAATAGAACCCAGGACTACCCCAGGGATGGCCCCACCCACAATGGGCTGGGCCCTCTCCCACAATCACTAATATCAAGAAATGCCTTATAGGCCTGACTGCAGCCTGTTCTCATGGAGGCATTTTAACATTTTAATTAAGGTTCCCTCCTCTCACATGACCCCAGCTTGTGCCAAGTCGACATAAAACAGTCCAGCTCACTGATGAATAGTATTTACCTGGCATCTCCCAAGAAATGATGTTCTCCAGAGTCAGAAACAGTTGGCAGTAGAAGTGGGGACAGTGAGGTTTACTATAAGGAAATAGTTCACATGATCATAGAGACTAAGAAGCCCAATGTCTGCAGTCAGCAAACTGCATGGTAGGATTCCATTCCAAACAAGGGCAATAAAACTGAGCTGTGATTTCAGTCAGTCTGGGAACGGAAGGCCAGTGCCCCAGGTCAAAGAATCAGGTGGAGAGGAGAAAGAACCTAAGGTTTCTAGTCTGTTCAGGGCTTTACTGGGTTACAGGAGGCCCACAAACACACTGTCCAGGTTCAAACTCAAGTATCTTGGATCTCATAGTCCAGTTGATACACAAAATTAACTATCATAGGGAATGGGCTTGGGAAATCCCATACAACCATACTTCGGCTTTAGTTCTGTATGGACTAGAAAATTAGTCCA